GGGGGGGAGGGAGGGAACGGGGAGCAGGCCCCGCCCCTGCCGCCCTTTGCAAATAAAAATCTAGGGGGGGGGGAGGAGCAGGAAGTGGCGGTGCGAGGGCTGCTGCACAGCTAGCAGAGCCGCGGTCCGGACGGCAGCGCGTGCCCCGAGCTCTCCACCTCCCCCCGCCCGCCAGCCCGAGGCCCCCGAGCCCAGCCCGCGGCCCCAGCAGCAGCGCCCAGAGCAGCCCCAGCAGCAGCGCCATGGCCGGGTGGAACGCCTACATCGACAACCTCATGGCGGACGGGACCTGTCAGGACGCGGCCATCGTGGGCTACAAGGACTCGCCCTCCGTCTGGGCCGCCGTCCCCGGGAAAACCTTCGTCAACATCACGGTAGTGCGACGCCCGCGCGCCCCGGGGCACCGGCCGGCCCGGACCCGGAGGGAGGGACTGGGGTGGGGGCGGGCGCGGTCCGGGGAGGACGGCGCAGGGCCGCCACCGGGTCCTGGTCCCGGACACGGCGCGGATGGCGGTTGCACGTGAGCGGGCCCTCCGCTGCCCCCCGAGCCCTACGCCCCGGGGCGGCGGCGCCCGTGCCTCCCGCCGCCCCGCTCCCCGCGACGGGGCGTTACATCCGGGGCACAGGGCGGGGAGGGGCGCGCCGCCCGGTGCCGAGGCCCACTTCCGCCTCGTTTAGGGCGGGGCGGGCTCCGCCGGGGCCGGGGACCGGCCAGGCGCCTGGGGACCCCCGGCCCCGCTTCCGGCGGCCGGCTCTCGCCCCGCCACCTTTGTTCCTCCCGCCGCGGGAGGGAGCCCCGGGCGCGTGGCCTGGGTCGCACGCCGGTCCCCGGGGCTCCCCGCCCTCCCGGCTCCGTTAGAGAGGGCGAGGCCGCCACACGCCCCCCCCCCCCCACGGGTCGGCACGCCGTGCCCCGCATTCCTGGGAGGCCCGTCCCGGAAGTCCCCTCGCCCTCCCTTCCCGCCATCCGGCGGGGCCCGGAGCGGGGGAACTTTGTGGGAAGTTGTAGGGCAGCGTGAGCTGAGGAATGAGGGATGACTCCTGCTGTCCCCATCACCACCTCCCCTGTCCACACTGCCCGGAAGTGGGGAGGGGGAGCGGAAGTTCGGGAGGGGGGGAAGGGGATTTCCGGGCGGGAGGGGACCGGATGTGGGGGTTTGGGGGGTTAGGGGGAGGGGGGAGAAAGGTTCCCTGGGGTAGTGGACCCGAGGGCTGGGTTTGCGGGTGTAGCCCTGGGCCCCCTTCAGAAGTTTTCCAACTTTCCCGGAAGGCCCCCAGGGCTTTGCTTCCTCATCTTGGGGCAGAGATACCTGGACCTACCCTAAGTCACTTGGAGACCCAGGCGTCCGGGCCCCTAACAACTCCTGCAGAACCTTTGACCAAATAAGGGCAAAGTTGCTTCTCCTGCTTCGCCCGCCCCCTCCCTTCCCCTCTGAGCTTCTGCTTTTCCTGAAGGAGAGTTCTGTGCATCCAAAGGCTCCCCATTCCATTCCACTCCACTCCTTTCCCTGGATTTTGGCCCCCTTTATTTCCTGGATTTGCTTTCCCTATTAAATGAGATCTTAATTTCCAGAGGAATATGTAGTCCCTTCCTAGGACCATTTTCTGGGTTTGAGGACCATGATCTTTTTGTGCACGAACTTTCAACAGCCCTTTTAAGGGTTTTTCAAATTTCTTAGATGTGCACAAAGCAGGTAACCTGTCCTCCTCGCTGGGGGGTGGGGGAGGGGTTCTAGCTTCCCCCTAGAAGTCGGGGGCAGGTGGGTCCTTGGAGAAGAGGGTGGGAACCTCCGTGTACTAACTTTGATGGGCGCTTCGTTCCCCTTCCAGCCAGCTGAGGTTGGTGTCCTGGTTGGCAAAGACCGGTCAAGTTTTTTCGTGAACGGGCTGACACTTGGGGGCCAGAAATGCTCTGTTATCCGGGACTCACTGCTACAGGACGGGGAATTTACCATGGATCTCCGTACCAAGAGCACCGGCGGAGCTCCCACCTTCAACATCACTGTCACCATGACTGCCAAGAGTGAGTTTCTCTTAATCTCTCCTGCTCCGAGATCCCCAGTGTACCTCCTGGTAGTCTTTTGGGTTCTTTTTCTGTGTGGTTCCCCCCAGTACAAAGGGATCCTAACAGCCTGCTGGATGCTGGGACGCCGGATAGTTCCTCCGGTTGTGTCTCAGTTCCTCATCTTGTAATATAAAGAGTTGAACTGTGTTACCTCTTCAGTTCCTTCCTGCCCTGAGACTTTCAGAGGAAAAACTCCGTTTTCTTGGAAGAGGTAGACTGGTGGTCAGAAGTTGGCACTTAAACTGGGTCTTTTGAATTCTTTTGTTAAAACCTGGAGGTGGCAGGCCCAACCCTGGTTATTTGTAGCCTGAACCAGAGTCCGCGGTATGCAGGCTTTTGGCCCCTAAATTTTAGCTTGTTCCTCTCCAGCTTTAAGCTTGATTTCCCCCTCCTGAAAAGCCCTATTGTTTCAGGGTGACTGACAGCCTGCCTGTGTGGGGGGGGGGGGGGGGGGGAGGAGGTTGGGTTACAGCCCCCAGGGCTGGACAGCTGCTGAACAGCTGGCAGGGGGTGGAATCGGGACACCTGGGTCCTAGCCTCCTTTCTCTTTCCTCCAGCGCTAGTCCTGCTGATGGGCAAAGAAGGTGTCCACGGCGGGATGATCAACAAGAAATGTTATGAAATGGCCTCCCACCTGCGGCGTTCCCAGTACTGACCTCGTCCACCCCTCCCCCCCCACCACCCCCACTGCTTTTGCACCCCTCTCCTTCCCATACACACACCTACACCATTTTTATTTTTTGGGCCATTACCCCACACCCCTTGTTGCTGCCAAAACCACACGGGCTGGGGGCTGGGGCTGGATGGACAGACACCTCCCCCTCCCTGTACCCCTCCTGTGTGTGGTTGGAAAACTTTTTTGTTTTTTGGGTTTTTTTTTTTGTTTTTTTTTTTTTTCTGAATAAAAAAGATTCTACTAACAAGGTGCTGTGTGGTCTGGCCTGGGTGTCAGGATGGACTGTCCCCATGACCTGCCTCCTTTATTTTGGCTTTGGGTTAGAAGGGGGTTGAGGGCATTACAACCCCCTTTATCTTGGCTTTGGGTTAGAAGGGGGTTGAGTCTAGAAATTTGAGCTTCCTTGCGCCTGGGCCAGGCCCAAGCACCTGCCTCTAGCCTACCTGGTCAGGTGGCCCAGCCCTTCCACAGTGGCACTTCCTAGCTGAATTGGGAGATAATGGAAAAGAGCCAGTCCGTCCCAGAGAATGGGTCCGGGCCTGCGGGCAAGGCAGGGCCAGTTGAGTCATCCTAGTGTGGGTGGGGCTCCCCCTCTCTGAGTCACAGTAAATGCCTGCTGGGGCTGTCCCCATGGCTACAGGTTATTCTCCAGGCACTCCCCTGCCCCTTTATGGCAAAAAAAAGGAGGGGGGCAATTACCCCCAAGGATAAGGAGTTCACCTATGTGAGAATGAGCTCACTCTTCCTCAGTTCACAAAAACTGTTTTATTAACCCCGAAAACGAAGACCCAGTCCCTCTACACCCTCAACCCCTTCAAAAGGATGGGGTTGGGCGAGGGAGAAACCTGGGGTGGACATGTCCCCTGTCCCTCAATCCGGGAAACCGGAGGGAGGAAAAGGGGCTGTGCAAATAGGTCTGTGGGGGGGGGGGGGGGGGCCCAAGGGGATTATTAGACCAGCAGGGCAGCTGAAGAGGAGGGAGCGGGCGGGGGATCCGCTGGAGATCCAGGGAAGGCCAGAGGGGTTGGAGCCAGGGAGCCGAAGGAGGTGGGAGGTGTGGGGCTGGAGCCCAGAAGCGGGGTCCGTTCTGAGACAGGTTGGTCCCCTGGCTCCCCTTCTTCATCACCCTCTGGCCCCTGAGTTTCGTCCTCCTGTTCCTCGTCCCCAGGACCCCGATGGACAGGCTGCTTGCAGATGGGGCAGGTCTTCCGGGTCTGGGTGAGCCAGGGGTCCACACAGCGGCTGTGGTAGGCTGCAAGAGGCACGGGGTGGGGTGGTGGGGGGAAGGGGTGAGGCACTGGCGCCTGTGGGGAGGCCTGGGGGCCCGGGCACAGGGAGTGGAGGCCTCACCATGAGCACAGGGGAGCACCCTCAGCCTGTCCCCGTCCTCATACTCGTCCAGGCAGATGGCACAGACGTCATACTGGTCTCCTGCGGGGAGGAAGGGAGTCCTCCCACTGAGCCACCCTGAGCCAGAAGAGCTGAGAAAGGGCAGGGTGAGGCCACAGGAGGGCACGAGGAATCAGGGGTTCGAAGGGAGGAGCAAAGAGAAGCAGAGGTAAGAAGGGAAGTGGGTTTCTTAGGGGGAGGAGCGGAGGGGGGGGGCAGGGCTCTGACTACAACCTTATATGGGCACTGGCGGCTCCAGGACCCAGAGACCCAGCCCCCCTCACCTGTGTCTTCCTCGGCCCAGTTCCTCCCCACTCCTGCCACGTCTCTGCTCTCTCCACCTCCCCTACAGGCAAGGTCAGTCCTCCATTCGTCCCCCAACTCTTCCATTTGATCACCCGTGCTTTCCACCGCCTGCCCTATTCCCGTCCTGTCCTCACCGGCCGTGTGGATAGAGCGAAGGAAGGGTGGCATCTCTGCCCCTGGTCTCCTGAGCTCAAACTCCTTTGGAACCATCTGGGAGAAAGGCCCCGTCTCCCCCTTGTGCCCCTCACCCTTCTGATAGTCATGCGTGGGAATCTGTTTCAGCTGCTCTTTGGTCAGTCGATTCCGCTGGAGCCGTTTCCGGTGCTGGACACAACGGACTATCTGGGGAGGGGGGGGGAGCGGACGGATCCACTTTAGGGAGCAAGACTGGGCCAACCCAGCACAAACCACCGCCACCTCCCGACCTAGATCCCGTCTGGCTTTAGAGGCCTCCAGCCCTCCCACCGCACTCCCCAGGCCACTCACCATCACTGCTCCCATGGCCAAAACCAGCAGCCCCACGATCCCTGTAAAAGGGATGAGGTAGTAGCCCAAAGGGAAGCTGTTGTCTGGGACCAGCAGCACCCGAGCCCTGAGAAAGGAATACCGATATCAGAGGAGCGGGAAAGACAAGGAAGAGGCACAGGGTGGTGCTGGGTGAGGCCCGCAGACGGGGAAGGCGTGAGAAGAAAGTCCAGAGGCAGCGTATGAAGGGCCCCGGGGCCTGGCCTCCAGGGGGGCGTGGAGAGACGGGGGACGGCGGGAAGGAGGGCACATCCTACCCCTTCTCGTAGACGAAGAGGGTGCGCAGGTACTCGGAGCTCGTCTCCCCGATAAACACAGACGGGATCCAGATCTGCTGCTGGATTTCCTCTGCAGGGATCAGTGCGTCACCCCGGGGACCCGGTCCTCCCCTCGCATCCCCTGCTAACACTGCTAACGCGGTGGCTCTTTCGCTCCATCCCGCCCAAAGGACTGACTCGTTTTCTCCAAGCTCTCAGCGCCCCCACCATCTCGGCCTCAGCCCGGCCGTCCACACCCCCGACCTCACCGCTGTTCCACACCATGTTCAGAAGCTCGTTGGAGTTCACGTTGTGCACCACAGCTGCACCGTACCCCGCCTTCTGAGCATTGAGGACCTAGGGAGACAAGGCACGGGATGGGGTGTAAGGGACCGTCGCGGCCCTCGCCTCCCTCCACTCCCGGCGCCTTTTGTCACCCTCCGCTTCCCAGCCCCCCACTCCACATTCAGCAACCTTGAGGTCAAAGTTGCAGTCGAATCTTCGTAGCAGTGCAATAAAGACTGACCCGTTGACCGGGGCTGGGGGCGGCGGGGCAATGGGGCTGCAGGCATTGGCCGGGTGAGCCTCCACAAGGAAGCCCTGGGGAAGGGAAGCAAACAGCAGTTGGATTTCACCTGCTTGGGGTCCGCTCCCCACAAGGGCCCACCAAGCACACTGGCTCCCCCGTGCTGCACATACTCTGCCCCTCACTTTTCGTTTGTGGGGTGGGGGCGCCCTGCCGGAGTCAGGTACATCAAACAGCATCTCTTGACCCGACCTCCCACCACCTCTCTCCCTGCACCGGATGGGCTTACGCCCCACACTCTGCGCTGATTCAAACCCTGCCACCTTCCAGGCTCCCACATTGTAAACCAATTCTCCACTCATCCACGTCCCTTTCTCTCAAGCTCCACTTCACATCTCCTCCTGCAGCACAAACTCCTACAGAACATACTCCCCTCCGGTAAAAAAAAAAAAAAATCCCCAAATCGAATCACTTGTGCTAGGCCCCACATCGCCAAACTTGACACCTGACTGAATTACAATTTCAAGCCTCCCCACGAGAATGGAATCTTAACCGAATGGAACCTTAACCGGTCGATCTGGAATCACTTGGTCAGAACGACTGAGGTCCTCTGCGGGATGGACCCCTGCCCTCCCTTTAAGAAAAGTATCCTCCCGCAATCACCTTTACTGCCAGCCTAACTTACTTGTTCTGCCTCTTCCTGCCTATAAAAAAGCCTTTTTGTTTTTGTACGCCTCTTCTAAGTCCCGTCTGCTAGGTAGGATGCCGTCCAATTTAGCCAAACTGTTATCTAAAGCAGTCAGACCCTTTAAAAGTCCCACGCTTAGACTTTGTCTTTCTGCCTTCAATTATTCAACTACCCATCTTACAAACGACTGGCCCAAAGAAATTCTTGCCGAACGGCAGCCTTCGTGAAATACCCCAAAACTCCATATCTAACTTCATTCTCACAATAACCCTGGGAAAACATCTCTTACCCCATTTTACGGCGAAACAAACCAAAGGTGCAGAGACATACAACGACTTTGCCCAGCCTCGTAAGACCTACGAGTGGCTCCTAAGACGCTACTGATAAGCACCACTTCGCCCCGCCTCTTATCTACCTCCGTGTCCATCACAGGGCTGAGATCCAGGAGCCGACTTGGTCTTCTCCCTCCAGATTCTGAATTCCACGCTAGATGTGCTCCTGCACTGAGCTCCTAACCTGCCTCCTCTCCCACCTCCAGCTTCACGCAAGGGCAAGGCTCCTCCACCCCCACCCAGAAGAGAGGATGCAGGGAAACAGACAAAAGGGAAGGAAGTCACCTGAAGTCCCTCTTGGCTCAGGGCAGCCCCAAAGAGCGCTGGCAGGTCTGCAAAGTCCATGCTGGCATTGTGGTCCGAGGTCTGCGCACGAGAGAGAGTCCATGTTGCCCCTGAGCCTGCAGCCCCGCCCCTCCGTACCCTTCCCCCGCCAGCCCCCGGACTCACCGCTCGAATGAGCCCGCGGGTGGGGGTCGCTCCCCAGAGCACGGCAGCCACAACCACAGGAAGCGGGAAGGCCGCGGGGTGCATGGCAGCGGGAGGGGAGCGGCAGGAGAGGCCGCGTCCCGGTAGCAGGAGCAGCAGCGGAGGTGCGCGCCCTCTCCTCCTCTCCTTCAGGATCCCAGGGGTCCAACCGCCCCCAGGCCCCGCTTCCCAGCTACATGGGGGCGCGGGGAAGGAAGGAACCCCGGGTCCGGGAGTGGGGCAGCCAACCCGTTCGGTGAGGGCGGGGAAGGAGGCACTAAACGTATCCTACTCGGGTACAGGGACAAGCTCGGGAAGGGAGACCAAGGCAAACATAGGTGACAGAAAAACTTCTGGGTGGGGGCGCTCGAGGAGGCGGGACTTCCGGACAGGTGGGCTGTCTTCCCAGCTGCTGGAGCAGGGCTTCCGGGAAAGAAAGTCAGGCCGCCTCCAGCACTGGGTGCTCGGGAGGAAGGACTTCCGGTCCTAAAAGGCCGTCGAAAGAAAGGTTAGAGGTAGAGGGAGTGCCTCTGCAGATGCAGGGAGCGTCGAAACCCCAGAAAACCTAATCGCTTCCCCTTCAAATGCCCGGGATTTTGGAGCTGCCCGCTTTACAAACCTCTCCACTCCGGCCGCCGCGGCGGCTGCGGTGCCTTCAGGTCTCGCGAGAGTCCTCACCACACCTTCCCTTCCACGAGCTGTGTGCTTGCCGTGTCTATCGCGAGAGACACTTCCTCCCTCCCCTCCTCCCCCAAATCTGGCTTCCCGAGGTCACTTTGTCTCGCGAGATCTCCTGACTATTTTCCCGCGAGTCCAATTCGGTGAAAACTGCGTCTAAGCGATGGCTTCCTAAACCAGCCACACCCCTTCCCGCACCCAGCCTCGAAGCCCCGCCTTCGGCCCCGCCCTCCTCCCGGTCTCCTTTGCGCCGCGCGCCTGCGCCTGCGCCTGCGCCGGCTTCCAGCTGGAGCTGGACCCGAGAGCCGGAGGGGCGTGCGCGCGCGCCCTCGGCCCTGTTGCGCGCGCGGTGTCACCTTGGGCGCGAGTGGGGCCGCGCGCGCGCAGGACCCGGAGCTGGGGGCCATTGAGTGGCGATGGCGGCGACGGCGAGTCCCGGGGCCGGCGGGATGGACGGAAAGCCCCGCACCTCCCCCAAGTCCGTCAAGTTCCTGTTTGGGGGCCTGGCCGGGTAAGCTCTGGCCCCAGGGATGGGACGGGAGGAGGAAAGGGACGGGTGCCAGGAACCGAGCCCGGTTCATCTTTGGGTCTGTTGCGGCGAACGGAGCCGGCTCGGGGTCAGCGCGGCCCCCGGCGTATTGTGAGGTCCTTGATGGGCCGTCAGGACCTCTTCACCCACTGCAGGACCCCTGCTGGTCTGCGTACTGGGTCATTGCTCGGCTTTCCCGGGTTGTGTGGGGTTCCAGGTCATTGCATGGCTCCTGTCGCGCTACGTGAAGTCCCAGGTCATGAATGCCCACCTCCTTTCCCCCGGGGTCGGACTGCTTCCAGTTCCAGGTCACCGCTTGACCCCCTTGACCGGAGCACTTTCATTGCACGGTCCTCGTTGGATCACTGGACTTTTCAGATCTATTGTTCTTGGTCCGGGTAGAAGCTTATGCACATACCCACTAGTCTCCTGAACGCTTAGTTAGTCACGTGAAAGGCTTTGCACTTTGTGATCCCTTGTTGCCAGGTTCCAGTGGGCATTGGTAGGTCCGAGACACGTGGCCCTTGACTCTGCTTCTGCCTTCCTCCAGGATGGGAGCCACAGTTTTTGTGCAACCGCTGGATCTGGTGAAGAACCGGATGCAGCTGAGCGGGGAAGGAGCCAAGACACGAGAGTACAAAACCAGCTTCCATGCCCTCACCAGCATCCTGAGGGCAGAAGGGCTGCGGGGCATTTACACTGGGTACTGAGGCCACAGGAGAGGGGACAGGGTATGGGCTGGCAGCTCCTGGACCTTGGCCTGATGCACTGACTCCTTCGCTCCCCAGGCTGTCAGCTGGCCTGCTGCGCCAGGCCACCTACACCACCACCCGCCTTGGCATCTACACGGTGCTGTTTGAGCGCCTCACTGGGGCTGACGGTACACCCCCTGGCTTTCTGCTGAAGGCCCTGATTGGCATGACGGCCGGTGCAACTGGTGCCTTTGTGGGAACACCAGCTGAAGTGGCTCTCATCCGCATGACTGCCGACGGCCGGTGAGTTCCAGGTCAGGTGGCACCCTAGCTCCGTTCCCTGGAATCTAAAGTCAGAGGACTGGTTTCTTATCGTTGGTCTGGAGCTGAGCATTGATGTGTTCTGGCCTCCCTTTCTTTGCTCCTGTGGGGCCGGGGGGCGGGCCGGGCCTATCCTGAGCTCGACCCCTTCCTGTTTTCCCACCAGGCTTCCGCCTGACCAGCGCCGGGGCTACAAAAACGTGTTTAATGCCCTGATTCGAATCGCCCGGGAGGAGGGAGTGCCCACACTGTGGAGGGTGAGTGAAGGGGCCGGAGGCTGGGGCGGGGGGGGGGGGGGGGCACGTCCCCACCGTTTCTGACACACACCGCCCCCTCCTCTCCACAGGGCTGCATCCCTACCATGGCTCGTGCTGTCGTGGTCAACGCGGCCCAGCTCGCCTCCTACTCCCAGTCCAAGCAGTTCTTACTGGACTCAGGTAAGACCCAGAGCTGGGCTCTTGGCCCCTGGCCTGGCCTGGGCCAGCTCTGAGCTGACTGTCACCCCACTCTGCCTCCCCCAGGCTACTTCTCCGACAACATCCTGTGCCACTTCTGCGCCAGCATGATCAGTGGCTTGGTCACCACTGCCGCCTCCATGCCCGTGGACATCGCCAAGACCCGGTGAGCGTGCAGGCCCGGTCCCGGAGGGGGATAGGAGGGCCCGCTTTATGTCTCTCAAGCGCCTGCTTCCTCCTCTCCAGGATCCAGAACATGAGAATGATTGACGGGAAGCCAGAATACAAGAACGGGCTGGTGAGGAAGCTGGGCTGGGGCTCAGGCTGGAGGGTGGTGACGGTGGGGAAGAGGGACACAGCCCTAGAAGCCAGGCCTTAACCCTGCCTGCCTGCCCGTTTAGGACGTGCTGGTGAAGGTTGTCCGCTACGAGGGCTTCTTCAGTCTGTGGAAGGGTTTCACGCCCTACTACGCCCGCCTGGGCCCCCACACCGTCCTCACCTTCATCTTCTTGGAGCAGATGAACAAGGCCTACAAGCGTCTCTTTCTCAGTGGCTGAGGCAGGCAAGGGGCCCAGAGCCGGTGTGCCAGGGCTCCCCTCACCCGCTGCCCCCACAGTCAATGCGCCCCCGAGGGCCTGGACTCCGCTGCCCTGGGCCCCTGTATTTATTTTTCCTCCACGGTCTGGTTCTCTCCTTTGCGGTAAAGGACTTTGGTCTGTCCTGCCCCTGCGTCACCTCGCCCTCCCTGTCCCGATCCTCGTGACATCTCTGCCCCTGGCTGTGCCTCAGAGGGAGTTGGGAAAGTCCCTGAGGATTTCCGGTCTCCTCTTGGGTGTTAGTTTCAGGGCATGTAGGACAGCAGAGGACCCGCCTTCTCAGTGGGTAAACCAAGGCAGACCTGAGGGGACAGGAGACGGCAGAAGCCGTGGGGACGGTCACAAGGTCTGCAGTGGGAGGACGTGACCCTTCCTCCACCTCACTGAGGACACGATCAATAAATCGGATTGATGACACCACCCCCAGATCTGGATAGTTGTGAGGGGGGTGGAGGGGAGGAAGCCGGACGGACGAGGGGAGGTCCCTGGGAAACAAAAACCGGAGTTTCTAAGCAAAGTTGTTAAAAGAAGAGGCGAACGCCGCCGTGTAAAACAGCGTTGTCGTCACAGCAGGTAAGGAGACGAAAGCGCGGGTCCCGCCAGCCACTAGAGTCAGTCCGAGGATGTCAGAATCACCTCACGTGATTCCTAGGAAAAGCCTCCGGGCTCCCGTGGCTCTTACTGCAGCCCAAAGAGGAGGGAACGAGGAGTCAGTGGGGAAGGCTGACCTGTGGGAAGAGGGTGATTGAAAGAAATCCGCGTGGAGCTGGGGCCCCCAAAGCCTGGAGGCTTGAGGAGATGGGGTGTGTTAGCCACAATCCTGATCTGAGCCCTACCCTGCCGAGAGTGACTACGTTCCCCGTTTTCTTTAGAAGAAAGATTCCCAGGCGGTGCCTCAAGGAGCCTAAAAACATCCCGGGGCATAAAAGGGCACTGGAAGGTCAACTGGAAGGAAGGCTGGGCAGCCTGAGGCCCCGAAGGCTCCTGAGCCAGGCCCGGGGACAGGCAGGCAGCAGGTGGGAACCGTCTGCTTGGCAGAGCCTTGTCCGGAGAAGAGGTGGGGCTCGGCGGTCTGGCGCCCCCGCCGGGCCCTCCCGGTTCTGCCTCTCGCCTTACCCTCTCTGGGCACCTGCTGGCCTGGCCGTGGTGGCCGCTCTGAGACACTGGGAGCCTGGAGCTTGTCCTTAGGAGGTTCCGAGTCCAGCGGGGAGGATGGCCCGCGAGCAGGCGGTAAAGGGAGGAGAGCAGCAGACCGTCGCAGGGTAACGCAGGTAGAGCTGGTGAACAGCGGGGCATCTGGCCCAGCCTGGGAGAGAGGCCTGTGCTAGCGGTACTCGGGCTGGGTGGGGCAGCGCTCCTGGCCGGCAGGAGAGCAGAGGCTCAGAGGGAGAATGCTGCAGAGCCGGTGATCTGGAAGTCGGCAACAGCTGGAACACAGGTGGTGAGGCGCCTGTTGTAAGAGGTTCGTTGGGACAGCGCGTAGAAGCCCTTGGCGGCCAAGCTCAAGATTGATGTATCCAGGGAAGCATTCCAGGCAGGAGAGGAGCGCGGTCAGGTTTTCAAGCTGGCGCCATCTGGAGAAGGGGGTCTGGAGCCAGAAAGGCTCAGCTTGCACTCCCATTGTCCGGGCTGCGAGCCCCGGCTTGGGCTGGCGACCCCAGAGGAGAGAAAGCCCGGCTCGGTGCGCTGGGGAAAGGGCACGGTCGAGAGAAGCAGGGGGGAAGTGGGTTCCGTTTGCCTGTGTTCTAGCTTAGGAGTGGGAGGCTTCACTGAGACCACTCGGTACAACCCACCAAGGTGGGCACATCACCAGCCCCGCTCCCATCCGTGCCTCGGACCTGAGCAGAGCAGGAGGCCCCGCCTTGGCTCCTCGGAGGCCCCAGGCACGGGGGCCGCTCCAGGGAAGCTTAGGTTTTGAGCTGACACCAGTGCTCGCGGTGGTGAGGGGCTGCCCCCCTGGAGGAGGCAGGGGGCGTGGCTTGCCAGGCTGTTGGGTGAGGAGTGATCCAACTAGGGTGGGGGCAGTGGGGCCTCAGATGGGCCACCGTTTTCCTCTCCAAAGGAAAGGAACTCTTCTTCGTGAAGCTTTTTTTTTTTAAACACAAATACCTTACAGTGGTAGAAAACTTAGGAAATGCTAAGCAGAGGAAAAGAAAATAAAACCACCGTGTTTATGCTACCCAGGGGTCATCAGGGCTCACGTTTGTTTTTTTTAATGTTTATATTTTGACAGACAGAGACAGAGCGTGAACAGGGGAGGGGCAGAGAGAGAGGGAGACACAGAACCCGAGGCAGGCTCCAGGCTCCGAGCTGTCGGCACAGAGCCCGACGCGGGGCTCAAACTCACGAACCGCGATATCGTGAGCTGAGTGTTAACTAATTGAGCCACCCAGGCGCCCCAGGCTCCCATCTCGATATGTCTCTTTCCAGGTCTTTTCAGTACACACGTGTGAGAGTGCTGATTGGTGCATCTCCTTTTTCCTGAAGCGTCCCCCAAGGTGATGGCAATAGCCTAGCGGTCTGGGACCCTCCCCCGCCGCAGCGTGGGGAGCCTTGTTCTATGAGCTCCTGGCTCCCGCATCTCACCACCCCCGCGGCTTTGCCGAGGTTGTGCCCGTGCTATGGAGAAGAGGCTTCGGATAAAGGAAAAGTAATTACCCCCCCCCCCCCACCCCCCAAGCTAGATCCCGACAGGAAAGCCGTCACATCACAGCCTCTCAAGGTCCCCGCATCCCCCAGCCTCAGAGGCTGTGGCCAGAGTACCTAATGCCCACCGTGCCCAGCAGGTCCTGACCACGACCCAGACTCAGGGCTGAGGGCCGCCGTCCTGCCACCAGAGGCCCCACGCGGCCGTTAGCCCGCACCCACAGGAAGAGGCTGGAGCGGAAAGTGGGCAGTGAGCCTGCAAGGAAAAGGAGCCAGGCGCGGGGCACGGGCACTTGCTTCCCCCTCTGCAGCTCCAGATGCGTGGTGTATGTGGCTGTGGCCGGGGCCTGTGGCGTCACACGGCGGTCCCGGGCCAGTAGCAGGATAAGGACCACGGAAGCAAACAGAAGCCAGAGGAGACCCAAAACGTAGAAGCCCAGGGGAAGGAGGCAGCACGCGTCCCGGCCGAGGGAAGGGTCATTTCTGGGGCTGCGTGCATTCTCTCGAGCCACCCCCTGAGCCTCTGGGAGGGTAGTTGTGGCACGTGGCCAGGTCGTAAGGAATGAGGTGGCTTTGGGGGTGGTTAAGAATGTGGTTATTTCAGAGGTGGTTGGGGTGGTGGGTATGGTGGGCTCCGGGGTGGGGGAGGTCGTGGTGGTGGGGGGCGTCGTGGTGGGGGTCGTGGGGGGCTCCGGGGTGGGGGAGGTCCTGGGGGAGGTTGTGGTCGTGGGGGTCGTGGGGGGCTCCGAGGTGGGGGGGGTCCTGGGGGGGGGGGGCCCGGGGGGCGCCGCGGTGGGGGGCTCGGGGGGCGCCCCACGGGGGGGGGGGTCGTCGTGGGTTCCGGGGTGGTCACGGATGTATTCTGACTCTCAGTGGACTCTTGGGTAGAAGACAGATAGGGCGTCTGGCTGTGTGGATAATCAGACGTTGGGTAGAGTGGGGGCCAGTGGGTTGTGCGGGCTTTGGCGTTGGTGGAGAGCGTGACCCCAGCCGTGGTGGAGGGGTCCTCGTCCTCATACTCGTCATAGCCTATGTCCGCATCCCCGAGGGTGGGGCAGCCCTTCCCCGGGTAGGTGTAGACGGGTGTGTTGGCCAAGTTGACGCATCGCACGCTTTCCACGTTGGGGGTCATGGCCTTGACGTCTACTCCTTCCTTCCACAAGTAGACGTTATTGGGGTTGTTCTGCAGCCAGCGAGTGAAGTAGAGGATCTCGCAGTCGCAGGACCAGGGGTTGCTGTGCAGGAAAGCGAAGGGCAGGAGGAGGTCCCCAAAGAAGTTCTTCGGGATGGTCCGCAGCCAGTTCCCCTGGAGGTACAGGGTGTCGAGCTCCTCCAGTCCTTCCAGGAGCCCAGGGGGCAGCTCGTTCAACTTGTTGTCGGCCAGGCTGAGCTTCCTCAGCCGGGGGGTGGGCCCCAGGAGCCCGGGCGGCAGCGTCTTCAGCTTGTTGCCCTGCAGGTAGAGCTCGTGGAGTTGGCTCAGGCCGTCCAGGGCACTATGGGACAGCGAGGTCAGCTCGTTGAAGGACGCGTCGAGGGTGTTGAGCGCCGGCAGGGCCCGTCCCAGCGGGGGCAGGCTTCGCAGCTTGTTGTGGGAGACGTCCAGGGTCTCCAGCGCGGGCAGCGTCCCGTCCATCTGCAGGTGGGTCAGCTGGCTTTGGCTCAGGTGCAGCTGGGCGAGCCGGGTCAGAGGCAGCAGGGAGGCCGTGGAGAAGGTGCCCAGGGGGTTCTCGCCCAGGCGGAGGATGGCCGTGTCGGCCGGCAGGTCGGGAGGCGGCGCCTTGAGCCCCCGGTTGTCACAGTTCACTTCCACCTGGCTGGTCACCTGGGAGACCTCGCAGACGGACTGGGGGCGGGAAGGGCTCGGCAGCAACAGCAGCAACAGGAGGAGAGGCATGGGGGCCTGGCCGGGAAGGGGGGGGGTGCTTAAGTGGGCACCTCGGGGCCCCGGGGCACTAGGCCCCGCCCAGACTCTAGCCCCCCACCCCCACCCCCAGCCTCTGGGACCCCTGCCGACCGAGCTCCCACACGTCCTGTCCCCGCCCCCCCGCCGCTGCCGTCTCCCACCCTCGCCCCCCAAAGCCTGGACAGCACCACGTCCTCGTCCTCACCCCTCCCTCGGGGCCCCCAGCCCCCAAGTCCCGCTTACGGGCCAGCGCAAAGACCTCCGAAGGCACAGAGCTGCTGCCACGGTGGCTCCGTCCTTTGCTCTTCCAACTCCAGGGAGGGCCTGCTCGGGCGGGTGGCAGGAAGGGCTCGGGGAGGGGGAGGAAACGCCAGCCCGATAGGGACTCCTGTGACCCGGGAGCTGTCTCCCTCCCGGACACAGGCCCTTATCATCTCCTTCCACGACTGTCCCCCGCGCTCCTTGTGGCTCCGTTCTCCCGCCGGGCGGACCGGGACTGGACTCCAACCACCACCTTCGCCCGGCTTTTAAGCCTCCGGCCGCCGCTCTCTGCCCCTCACTGTTGCCTTCTTACGGTCTCCAGTGTTGACCCTCACCTCCCTCTGCCTTTTCCCCCTGTCTCTAGCATGGTCCCTCCCACCCCACCCCCAACCCACTGGCTCAGTTCTGGTCGAGGTCGCCAGTGCCAGCGCTCTACGCCCACTGGGCGCTTCTCCGTTATGATCTTAACGTGTTTTCTGCGACCCACATCACCACCGTCTCTTCCGCTCGGGACTCATGACGCACACTCCTCTGGCTGGACTTTCTTTGTAGATTCCTCTTTGGCCCTTCGTGAGAAGTTCACCCCCGGAGTTTGGCCTTTGGCCCTCTCCTTTTCTTTCTTTCTTTCTTTTTTTTTTTTTTTTGACATTTATTTTTGAGAGGGACAGAGCACAAGTGGGGAGGGGCAGAGAGAGAGAGAGGGGGAGACAGAATCCAAAGCAGGCTCCAGGCTCCGAGCTGTCAGCACAGAGCCCGATGCGGGGCTCGAACCCACTAACTGTGAGATCATGATCTCAGCTGAAGTCAGACACTCAACCGACTGAGCCACCCAGGCGCACGCCCCTCCTCTTGTGCTACACAAACACCTGGGATCACCCTCTTTCTTTTCCTTGCTTTTCAACCACACCTACACCCCAGTGACTCAAACCTATGTCTAGCCCAGACCCCTCTCCTGAGACCCAAACCCCTAGGTCCCCCTGCCCTTTGGAATCCTTGGATGTCCCACAGGCATTGAAGCTGCGTGTTCAAAACTGAGATACACCCCCTGTTGTCCAACCCGGCGAATGGTACCACCATCCACGCATTTGGCCGCTCAGTACCAACAGATCCCTGATGGCCACCCTGAACCCTTCCCCTCTCATTCCCTGTCCAACCTGTCACCTGGTCACGCTCATTTCAGCTCCTAATCTCTCTGAAATCCACTTTTCCTGTTCCCACCGCCACCATCGCCAGTCCGAGGTACCATTTTCTTTCTACACCCCACTGCGACAGCCTCCCAGCTGGTCTCCTGACTCTGGCCTCCCTTCTGCCCGACCCTCACTTATCTGGGAAGTTCCAGCCCAGAATTTCTTCCTTTGGAAAGCCTTTTAAGACCTCCAAGACTTGGGGTACCCGGCTGGCTCAGTTGGTGGAGCATGTGACTCTTGGTCTCAGGGTCATGAGTTCGAGGCCCACGTTGGGTGTAGAAATCACTTCAAACAAACAAAACAACAACAACAAAAGCTTCCCAAGACCAAGTTAGGTGCCTATAAGAAAGTGAGCTGCCGTGTCTGTTGGTTCTCTTCCCGATGATGAACATGCTCCACCTACTGTCCCCACAAGGGACGTCACGGGCCTGCTCCTGTCTGCTCAGCACCGGTGACACTTGAGCCAGATGCAGTGAATGTCCAGATCTGCCATTTATCTCATTAGCCTGCTGCAAAGAGTACCTGAAACCATGGAGAAAGCAAGGAGTCAAGCAGCAGGAAGTGAGGTGACAAGTTGCAGAGAGAGAGAGAGAGACCACGGTGTGGAGTAGGGCCCCTGGGGCTGCTGAGCTTGGCTACATTTGTATGGGTCAGGGGTTTCGTGTAAGCCTCAGAGAACATTCAGGCTGACTTAGAACGAAAGAGGATTTCTTACAAATACATTGGCTCCTCCCCGGGCTGTACCCGGTAAGGGGCTACAGAACCAGACTTGGAACAGGGCCAGGCTGCGGAACGAGTCTGGTGAGCAAAACTCTGCTCCTGCCGCAAGACGGGGTCACTGGAGCCCGCACTGCTCCAGCTGCTGATACGGAAACTCAGCGCAGCCTCCCTGCCCTGACGTGGCACCTACCGCCTTGGGAAGCCAGGGTGGGTGTGAGGGGGACGGGTCGTAAGCCGGTGACCCAGCTGCCAGGGAGCCCAGGAAAGCCGACAGCGTTTTCCCAGCTTCTGTAAGAGGAGGCCGCGTCGGCTTCCTCGAAGATGCCTACATTGAAGGTTTTTGCAGACGTAGAAGCGAGGGATTCATACACTTTGGCACCTGCTGAAATGATCCAGTGTTTTCGTTTCTTCACATGTTAATGTTCTGATTTTTTTTTTTCTTCTAATCTTGCATCTTTGAATGCCTGGGAGTAACATTAGTCGGCCATTATGAATTCTTCTTTTTTTTTTTTTTACGTGTATTTATTATTGACAGACAGAGTGTGAGCTGGTAAGGGGCAGAGAGAGAGGGAGACACAGAATCCGAAGCAGGCTCCAGGCTCTGAGTTGTCAGCACAGAGCCCGACGCGGGGCTAGAACCCATGAGCCATGAGATCATGACCTGAGCCGAAGTTGGAAGCTTGATGGACTGAGCCACACAGGCGCCCCTCTTTTAATATAATTGTAGGTTGGCTTGCTCACATTTTATTTAGAATTTTCACATCTAGGGATGCCTGGGTAGGGCTGAGTGGGTCAAGCGTCTGTCTCTCGATAGCAGCTCAGGTCTTTTTTTTTTTT